CCTGTAGGCTCAGGCAATCCACTTGCCTCGGCCTCCAAAAGTGCTGGGACGACAGGCTGAGCCACTGGGCCCAACCCAGAGCCTGCTCTTGACTGAAGTGGGGACCCAATGAGAGAGGTACTGCCCAGCTGTCCAGGGTACCTGATAGGTGGTGTGTAATGCCTGGGAGAGCCAGGAGTGGGACACCTGTGCCCAGATGCTTTCCAGTTGTTTTGAAGTAGGGAGGCTCCCCCCACAGGCCAAGCCAGCTCTCCTGGCCTTGGTGGCCACAGCCCTGGAAATTAGTCAAGCTCTGCAGGTCCTCAACACCCTGGAAAATGCTGAGGTACGACCGTCCAACAAAGGATCTGTCTACCCCACCCACCATCCCTCACCTGGCCGCCAGACATCTAGCGCCGGGCTCCCTGCTCCAGCCGTCCCAGGCCCATGACACACAGTTCGGGCCCCATCCAGCCCTCCAGAGCAAGGCCAGAGTGGCCGTTGCTGGCAGCTGTGCTGAAATCAGGGCTCCACATTGGCTCCCACCCCACAGCCTCCTGAGTGCCCCCAGAGTGATGCTGACGTGGTCCCCCCGCCCGACTGGATGACTGAGTCCCAACTTCCACCTCCTGCAAGACACCTTCCCTGTTACCATTCCTGTCCTGTGCCCAGGATGGCTCACAGACTGTCCCACCCACCCCGACTACGTCCCACCTGGCAAAACCATCGGGGTGCCTGTGTCTAGGGGTCTCACGGGCCCCCTCCACCACATTCCTATGGCTGCAGCTGCTGGAGACACTCCATGCCGCCTTTGTGCCTGGGGGCCTCCCGGGCTGAGCGAGATTCACAACTCTGGCTTGATCGGCCCATCTCCAAGGTCAAGATTTTGCATCTTCGGCATCACCCCCTGGGGACACAGCGCCCCAGCCCTCACCGCTGTTCTGCTTCCTCCTGGGCCATTTGTGTCGCTCCGACCTGCCATCACTCTGCAATCAGGCAACCCCAAGCCGCATCCACCAAGCCCGCTCCTCTCCTCGTATGTGCCCATGTAGCTGAGTGTCCACTGCCTCTTGCTGCTGCTGTAGGTGGCATGACATTCCACGTCCCACTGCAGCTTCTCCAGACCGACTTGCCGATGACTCGGCACTGAGGTGACCAACAGCCCGCACCACAGGGTCATTTTGGCCACTCCAGCACCAGCCTGTTGGACATACCTTCTCCCACCCTCTCAGCCACTCCATCCAGCCCAGCCCTGGCCACTGCCTGGCATCTACTCTTCCCTCACTATTGAAAGTCTGCCCAGAACTTTGGGTGAACTCCACTCTCCTTTCCTCCCTTCATTGCTCAACTGGACACTATGCCTACTCTATCCTCTCTGTGACGATGCATTTCGGTTCCCACCTGATGTTCTGAGGACACCACCCTCTCCTCACCTTCCTGCAAAAGGTCTGTGCCTCGAGATTGGCCTGACTGTGGTGTGCATGTTCAAGCATGCCAGTCTCTCAATTACCCACCCTTCAGAGCCAGGGATCGAGTGTTGTATACTATGAGACATATTGTGGCTACAGGATTCATGAGAGCCGTTAATCCCACTCCAGTGACTTGCTGGGCCAATTCCATGTATTACTTAGCAACGTGGCACAACCTTGTCTAGGTTCTCCAACCCTGGCCCAGGGATTCTGGGAGACAGGTCACCTCAGCACAGATGCAGCTTTCACAAGCCTTAGGACAAAGGTTACTCTTACAAGAACAGCGTAAACTACCTTTATGAAAGAAAAGTCTGGGAGCTGAAGACAGGTGTGAGAGAGGAGGAATGAACCTCCAGATTCCAAGAACTAGTTCTGTACGAAGATTCTCCCAGTTAGTGGATCATCTGACCCCTGGCTATATCTGGCCCCAACCCTGCTCTTGCGATCTGTCTTGGAAGAGCACGGCCAGAGTAAGCTGCTGGAGCCACAGATGGGTCCAAGACTCATCTTTGATGCAGAGTTAACCAAGGGGAGAGGTTGTCCTGGGGAGCTGGTTAACTAGGACCACCTAAACCCCTGAGCACGACAGGGTGATCTCCACTGACACCATGGCAGAGTGACTCTGTGACTGCTGGGCAGTGGTGATGGTTGTGATTCTCCACTAGGCCTCCTAGGACATGACCCAGCAGGGAGCCCAAGGACTGGCTTGTTACAGCCTGGGTGATTGGAACCCAGGGCCCCTGCTTGGCCTGTGCTGGCGTGGGCGTGGGTGGGGCACCATGACTGTGTGGGGTTTGGCTGGAATGGAGCCGTTGTCTACGTTCTCAGTCTTTCCAGGCTGCTCCTTTTCTGGTCCTGTGGCTAGAGAGCTTTTGTGGGGGCTTGTAACTGTGTTAGTCTGTGCCTGTTGCCCTTTCCACTGGTCCCTTTACCTCTGAGACTGGGATACAGGAAGCAAAAGGAAGACTCCGAGGACTCACCACTGTGTCACTCTTCAGGGCTTCAGGTCCCCAGGTCCCCAGGTCCCCAGCCAGTCTGCCTCTCTCCACCTTCAGAATCTTCTCATGTTTGTTTTATATGTAATGCCCAGGGTGTTTAGTTTTGTTAGCAGGAGGAATAGAGAAAAGTATGTCTATTCCATCTTCTCAGAAGTAGACACACCTAAATTCATTCTTTTTTTTTTTTTGAGTTGGAGTCTCACTCTGCTGCCCAGACTGGAGTGCAGTGGCTGCTCCCGGCCACCGCAGCCTCCACCCGTTGGGCTCTGGCGATCCTTCCGCCTCAGCCATCCAAGTAGCTGGAACTACAGGTGCGCGCTACCACGCCGGCTAATTTTTTGATTTATTGTAGCAATGAGGTCTCGCCAAGTTGCCCAGGCGGGTCTCGAACCCGCGGGCTCAGGCAGTCCACTCACCTCAGCCTCCCAAGGCGTGGGATTACAGGCTGAGCCACTGAGCCCGGCTCCTAAATTCATTCTTAAACATTAGTTTGTTTATCTGAAGGATCCTTCATCTCCTGTGGCATTCGCTAACTTTTTTTTTATTAGGGAACATTTTTGTGTTGGCGAGTTCCCTCCTGCTTCTGTGGGATGGAGAGGACAGGCCCATCCTGAGAACAGCCTCTCCTTCCTCGCGGCCTTCCTTCCGCCAGCCTGTGCATGGACTCTTCTCTTGCCTGGAGTGTCTTCCCCTCTGTTCATCAACTATAAAACTTATTTATTCTTCACCTTCCAACTTAAACATTATTTATCCAAAGAGCCATTTCTCCTACCTGGATACATTTGCATTTCCTTCTGCTAAATGTTTCCAAGAGCACTGTGTACTTTATCATCTCCATCAGCATACTTTATTGCAGTTATTTATGTAATGTCTGTTTCACTAAATAGCCTATGATTTCATGAAGGCAAGGACTGAGACATTGTTGTTCAACTCTGCACCAAATATCTGGGGCCTGCTGCAGTGCCAGGACAAGTCGGCTTTGACCCAGTTTAACCTGCGTATACGCGCTTATGGGTGGGTTCACTAATATACACTTCTGTGACACCCCAATTTCAGGAGTGCCTGAAATTTCTCTGGTCACTTGGGCTCTTTCTCTGAGATTACTGGACTCCATAGGATCCAGAAACATCAGATGCTGAGCAGGACAGGAATCCTTTGGGATCCTGGGTTGGTCCTAAGGCGGGATTCATTCTAGTGGTCTGTTGCTTAGTGCCTATTGGTTGTTAAGAGTTTGATTTCTTCCCTGATTCTATGAGTGAATGAATTAGGTCCAGAAGCTCAGAGCTCACCCAAAACTCCCAACCCATAACCAACAAATGTGCCTTGCATGTGCTTTCTCCACCGTCCGATGATTGCCTGGAACTCTTGCTGGGGTTCATTCCCCTTCCTCACAAGTCAACTCTGGCCTGGTCACACACAGTGCGTTATTCCAGTAGAGTCCTCAGAAATCCAAGCTCCATCTCTAACAAAGGTTTCCCCTGACAGATCCTTTTTGGGGCATCTTCCTATTTCGCTATCACGGGCATGCAGATGACACTGTCGACACTTACTTTGTGGGCCATGTGACTTCTTTGGCATCTTGTGGTGGAGTCCACCTCCCTTCCTATTGGACTCCACTGTGGTCTAACTCGGGATCATATCCAAGTCTCCGTTCACCTCAACATTCATTCTCTCTCCTCAGTAGCATGCTCCTGTCCTGGCCCATGTGGTAGACTTTCTTTCTTAAACCATCGGCCGTAGTCTGTGCCCTCTAATATTTCCTTGACTTGATACTTACTCTTTGACTCATTCACTCTGTTCTATCAAGCCCCTTCTTCTGTGGACAAATCAGCAATTTCCTGATCCTTCTTTTATGGTTCTGTCCATTCTTTTTTTTTTTCCCCTGTCCATTCTTAAAAATGAAGCATTTGTCTACTTGGAATACCCGTCTCTTCAAGGTTTCTGTTTTGCAGCCCCTTGTGCTTCCTTCTCATTGGAAGTCTTTTTCACTTCATGGATTTAGCATCTCTGCATCAAAGTAAAGTTTGAAATTATCCAATTAGATTTTAAACCTACTTCTACATGATTTGATAATTTAAAAAAAAATCATATTCTTCATTCTAGTTCCATCTTTAGTGAACCAAATCGGGAATAGCAGGTGGGTTTCATCATCATCTCATGTCACTTAGTCATACTATGGAATCTTTTGAGTAGGATTTTGAGGCTGTCAAAGCACAAAGGAGCTGTGATGGGTAAGCAGCTGCAGGAGCAAAACTGAGAGGAGGGGCATCATTCTTGGCGGATGCATTCATGCAGGATCTCCCATTGTCTTAAGATTCCTTGTCTTCTTTGCACTGTGCTGCCTTTTTGGAGGGTACCTGAAGGAACAGATGGATGCTTGAGATGGAGAAGCAGAAGATGCCAAGTTCTAACTACCTCTTTGCCAGTGACAAGGCTGCCATGAATAAAACTGAGAAGACTGAATACTTTAGGTCATCATCTTGATGCAATGACTTTGAAGCACTTTCACTTGTGTTTGAGATTGCTAATTCCTGACTTGGTGTTACTTTTGCAGGCGGCACTCAGCATATTCGGCATGGTTGGTGGACCACTTATGGGCATGTTTGCTTTGGGCATTTTGGTTCCCTTTGCCAACTCAGCTGTAAGTATCAAGAAGGAACATGTGTAAGGTGACATCCCCAAACACGGGAGCGGATCTGAGCTTTTTTCTCAATTGTTAAGATATGGGACCTTTGAGATGTGTCATTGGTGATGCGTGATAAATTACTCCTGTTAACTTTGGTGGAGTGTCCGATGAAGTTCTATGCCCAGGACCCTGCATGTGTGAAACTCAGTGGAAACTTCCAGAGCCATACAATGCCATTTTAAATGTTCCCAATACAACTAAAGGAGCCACATGTTTTCTGCATTTATCTAGTTGCCCTTCTTAAAAATTAACAGAAAATGATCAGAAGGCTCACATGTGAGAAACTTAAGGGCGACCAGGCCAAGAGAAGCAGTAAGGTCTTTCCCAACTTGGCCAAGGAATTTCTTCCTCTGTTACTTAAGACTGTAGCTCCCATGAAGTGGTCTAGCCCCAACGGGCTGATTGTGATTGAGAATATTATCCAGAAAGAGATAATATCTCTTTTCCTCTACATAGACATGTCTATGCTTAGAAGTTACTAAACCTTATTTAGAATAAGTGAGATAGAAATTATTTCTCTGAAAACCAGGAAAAAGTCCACTGGTTCAGTTCTTGCTACAAAGGTGAAGTTTAGGAAAAACTATAATGTATGTACAGAAATATCACATGAAAATCTAGTTTGGTAGAAATTAATCACCATGAAAGAGATTGGTTTGTGGGGTCCATCCCAATACATTAAAACTTTTTTTTTTAAGATGTGGGGTACAATTCAGGATTAGGTAGTTACATGGTCATCAAACAGGTAAAGTTGAGCCTACCTTTGGTCCCAGGTCCCACTTCGCCTGGTTTGTGATCAAGTTAAAGCTCCAATTAGACTCTGTGTGTGATAAAATGCATAGTGGTTTGCTGAGTGTCTGGGAAAAAAAAGAATCAACCTGTGGTTTTTGATATTTGTTGCCTTATGAATTGCCTCCAGAAAACTGTAGCTGGCTAAACCAACATGTCCTTTTTGGGGGTAATAACATGCTATTTTTCCTGCCACTGGAAGTACTTAAAAAAATTCTTTTTAACCATATCTGAGCTTTCCACCAGCAGATTGTCCACCTACCCTGGTAGTAGCCTTCCTCCTTCCCCTCTCCTTCCCGCCCTCTCATTCATTTATTCATTTATGTATTCAGTACATGTTTATTGGCCAAATACTGTCTTGGGAGAGAACTGAATGTTTATGCTCTTGTGGGTTTTATAATGTTGCACCATGTTGAAGTTGACTTTCTAACATTAATTTCTATCTCAAAGCAAACTGTGATACTTTTCTTTTACAAGCACTCTTGTTTTGCAGGGAGCACTTGTTGGTCTGATGACTGGATTTGCCATTTCTTTATGGGTTGGAATTGGATCTCAGCTTTATCCTCCACTTCCTGAGAGAACGTTGCCACTGCCACTTGAAACCTATGGCTGTAACAGCACGTACAACGGGACAGACTTGATGACAACCACAGAAGTGCCCTTTTCTACTAGTGCTTTTCAAATGCACAAAACTGAAAGGTATTTTTAAAATCAATTTATTGAGCTACAATTGACATAAAAGGCTATGCATACTTAATGTATAAATTTGATGTGTCTAGAGATGAATATATACCCATAAACCCATCGTCACAAGCAAGGCCATCAACTTATCCATAATCTTTAAAAGTTTCTCCAGGCCCTTGCCAACTTTTGTTTTTTAATTTGTTTTTCCTTTTATGATAAGAGCATTTCACATCTGCCTTCATAACACATTTCCAAATATTCAGTACAATATTGTTAATTATATGCACAATAATTTTTTGCCCAAGATTTTTTAAGAGCCTATAGCTCACTTAGCACAGCATAAAAATCAACATGTGACGTTTCTGGCTCTCCTTGGCAGATCTCATTAAAAAGTATTGAATTGGGTTTGACAATATCATATGCTAAAACTTTATGTGATGGGTAGAAAACTCCAGTTGCTTTTGTCTTGCCTATAACAGTGTGATTTTGCCTAATTCGGAAATGGGTAGAACCCATGTGGCTGGCTATATTTTATTCAACAACAGCAAAAAATACCATATTTTCTTAATTTCTATATAAATGTCCTCCTGGACTTCATTAATATTCAGAGAAGACTTGAATATTAATGGAAAAATGCTCTGTTACAGGTAAGCTCTACCAAATACCAGCTCCAGCTACATGCAAAATTGTCTTTGAAAAACTTTAAAAACTAAAAGCACAATTATAAAAGAATATTGCTCATGAAGTCTTTGAAGTATAGCCTTTACTGACCAAGGGCTACAATTCTCTAAATATGTTGAATCATGGCAACTAGTTTAGTTAAAGACTCCAAATCTTCAGAGCACCGGCTGTGAGTGGCAGGTGTGCTCCTCCTTCTGGTGGTCTCGTTTGCACCATATGCTTTTGAGTTTCTGGCTGCTGAGTTGTGTGATTTAATGAAATGGTGTGGATCTGTGGGTAGAGGCGTGTTCCATTGCACAGAGTGGTTGAGGGCAGGACTTTGTTTCATTGATCTATACATGTCCAGCCTGAAGTCACAAACCCCATGGATATCCTGAGGAATGCCCCAGTACCAGTTGGTCTAGAATTATACCATGAGAGGATCATTTCTTTGGGATCAGGACTCATTGTCTTCCTCTTAAAATGGACCCACTCTGGCCAGGAGATGTTTCTGTCTCTGGGATGCTTTCCTCAAGGACTTTGTTATTCGGGTCTCAGGTCAAATGTCATTTCTTCCCAGGGCTGTCCTCTGACCACTCATGGCAGCATGACTCCTCCCTGTCTGCCCTGTCAGTCACCCGTCCTCTTGCTTTGTTTTCCTTACAGCACTTCTCACCAGGGGAAGTTACTATGTTTATGGTATTTACTCTGTCTTTAGAATGGAAGCTTTATGTGGGCAGGCGCCTCGCTCCTCGTTTATGACTGACTCTGCAATCACAAGAGCAGTGTCTGGGACATGACACAGAGGTGCCTGCATAAACATGACACTTCTGTATTTTAGTATGTGGTCCAGATGAAGTTATGCTTTGAATTCCCGGTCCAAGAAGGTAAGATCAGGATAGCAGAGTATAATGTTAAAACATCATTAAATGTTATGTTTGACCTCGCCATGAGAATCGTGGACACATACTGGTAGTTGCTGGCAGCATGACCCGACCCTGACAGGTGTGTGTCTGCTCTTTCCTAGGACTCCACTGATGGATAACTGGTATTCTCTGTCCTATCTGTACTTCAGCACTCTCGGGACACTGGTGGTGTTATTCGTGGGAATACTTATCAGTTTATCAACAGGTAACTAGCTAAACATTAGGATTGTGGCATTCACCTCCGGGTCGGTTTTTCCCGTATCTTTTTTAGAGCTATTTATGTTAGTTGACTATGATCCTATTTATTTTAATTATTTCTTCCACTTTATTCATGGGACATGTGAAGGCCCGGACTAGAAGGCAGAAGATCCACCTTTGCTTGAACCTTGGTTCTCCCATTTAGTGGCTGCAAGTCACACAGCCACTCCGAGACTTTGCTTTCTTATGTGAAAGATGAGGACCATAGCACCTGACCTTCCTGCCCACCCACAGGCTGCTGTAGGATTAAAATATGATGCCTGACAAAACGTCACCACACCTCTGATGCTGGGGCTTTTACACAGGCTTTTAAAACAACCATATGCTGTGATCTTTCCAATGTCCCGTATTTATTCTTTGTAAACTGTGAAGAATTCTACACATGTAAGGAATGATCATTATAATCTTTATGTGTAACCATAGTACGAAGGTTGTTTTTTAGATGTTCACACTTTTTAAAAAAGTGTCTGTTTTTTAAAATCAGTTGATTCTACACATGGTCTGAATCGCTCTCTGAGATTGCTGCAGAACTTTTACCCGGGGACTTTTTGTTTTGTTTTTTTTTGAGTTGGAGTCTCACTCTGTCACCCAGCCTGGAGTGCAATAGCTGCTCCCGGTCACTGCACCCTCGACCTGCTGGGCTCCGGCAATCCTCCCGCCTCAGCCTTTCAAGTAGCTGGAACTACAGGCACGCACTACCACACTCAGCTAAATTTTTTTTGATTTATGGTAGAAATGAGGTCTCGCCAATTTGCCCAGGTGGATCTTGGACCCACGGGCTCAGGCAATCCACTCACCTCAGCCTCCCAAAGCGCGGGATTACAGGCTGAGCCACCGAGCCCGGCTTTCTTGGGGACTTTGCTGTTTCCTCATTCTGTAAACCCCATTCAGCCACCTTCCTGTGTTGAGTTCCTGCTGCCTGTATCCGTTACTCCTCCTTCTTGGTTATCCCTTATTTGAATGGGGCTCGTCCTAGAGCACATTCTTGAGAAGGGAAGACAAGAGAAGAGGATTGAGAAGCTTTGTGTGTCTGGAAAAAAGTCTCTAATCTGTTTTATGCTTGACTGATAATTTGTTTGAGTAGAAAACCCTATGTTGAAAACAACTTCTTTTTCTCTGAGAGGCTGTCTTTTTCTTCCTCTTACAAGGTTGGCATTGAGTGACAGTGATATGCTGTCTGCTGACGCTTTACCTATGTCCCATTTTCCCAAAGGCTGCCTTGCCCAGGCCTTCAGCAAGGCCCTTTCCATCGGAAGACCTGTGCCCTTCAGTTCTGGGTACTTTTGTTGTATCATTTCTATCGTCATTACCTGCCAATTTTCTCTTTCCTCTTTCTGGAAACTCCTTGTTAGTCCAGCGTTTTAGTGGTGGACAGTTTCTCTAATTTTCTTGTCTTTTCTATTTTAAATCTCTGTGTCTTTTAGGCCTACTACATGGGATCGCGTTTCACTTTTTCCCCCAATAATTCTCAAAGGAGCACAATCTCTGGGGATAAGGGGGTAGGAAGGAGGCTACCGCAGTCATCCTAGTGGGAAACACAGTGGCTCGGACGGGGAAGTGGTGTGGAGTAGTGAACAGTCCTGGGCTCCCTAGCTGCTTGTCTCCCCACACTGGGAAGGCTGCCCTGCCCTCGTAAGCAAACTTGGTATAGCTAGTCAGAAACCCTACGCTTTGTTCAGGCACATCTGATGTCTTTGCTTGTTTGTGCTGCAGAACTACCAACACTGTGCCATTTATTAGACTCCTGACATTAAGTTTTGGCTTTTGGCCATTGGAGAGCTCTGTCTTTCAAACTTCTGTGGCACTTGGATTTATAAAGTTTGTAGCTATGTGTTCTCTCTCAAAAAGTTGTTGGAAAGCGTTCTCTTTCTTCTCCAAAGGGCTATACTTTTTCTCAAAAATAAAATTACCAACACAGTAGGTTTATTATTTTGTCTGGCTTGCAAAATGAAAGACAGATTTTAGACTTTTCTTTCTTTTTTGTTTTTTGAGTTGGAGTCTCACTCTGCTGCCCAGACTGGAGTGCAGTGGCCGCTCCCGGCCACTGCAGCCTCGACC